CTTAGTATTAGGTTAGGAAAAAGTGTTCGTTTATTATTTTGGTGAATACATTGCATATTTCTTCTCCTTACAAAAACACAGCGACTTGTACAGTCTGCATTCAGATCAGCCACTTCTCTCATTCTAAATCTTTAAACTTACGATTTTGCCAGAGGGTGGAATCTATGGGAGAAGCAGGTTTGGCCCAGATCTACAAAAAATAATCCCAGATCATATGAAATACTTTTCTCTTTTTTTTGGGGGGGGGGGGGGAGGCAGGGAACAGCTGCGGGTCTGGGAGCAGGGGTGAATAATTCTAATTGTAGAATTACCCTCTACTGCTCCCCAGTCCAAGGAGTAATTTTGTTGGGAGGTTTCGTAAGGGGGTTGGTTGTGTGTCCCCACACAGGAATGAATACATATTCCTATTTGGTGGATTGCATTCCCCATTGTACAAAGTAGTATTGCCTATAAACGTTGCAGTACTCATTAGCCCAAATTCTATGCATAGCAAATGATGTGAAGCAAACAGAGAAAAATCTCAGTGTGAAACAACACAGAGGGCTACATTCGGGAGGTCTAAACTTTCTACACAGTAGAAATATAAAAAAAGAAAAGACAAAACAAAAGGAAATAAATTTGTAAATACAGATTGATAAAACTTCCTTCAAGTGAGAGGTGAGCCCCAGCTACACTAACACATAGAAATACTGCACAGCACTGCAACAGGAGTCATCTCATGTCACATTCGTATGACTATCAAGAAAGGATTACTTACAAATCCATTTTCATAGACAAATTCTGCTCTTTCAAAATCATTATTCTCCAAAAAGGAAGTATGCAGAATCATATGAAGTGATAAAATGGAAGGAAGGAGAAGTAAGGCATAATTAATTGGGTACTCCACACATCACAAAACATTTGCCAATTCATGTGTCCTCCCTCAGACTTTAAAGAATTGGCTAGTGCTCCTCACTTCCACATGACCACTGAACACTATCATCTTTAGCATGTATATATACAGAACTTCAATTCACTACCAACAAGTTTCAGCCTCACTTCTAATCAGCAGTCAGAAGTCGTTGTGCGAAGTACCACTTTATAGTCCTTTTGGTTAATAAGTAGAGCTCCACAAAATAAAAACTAAGACAACTGGTTTTCTGCAACCTCCTTAGAGAAAGAGAAATTACCTGAAATATGCAGAATGAAAACAAGTATAAGTTTAGACTGACACCTGCAGCACAACACTGGCCCTCAACAGGCAGTGTTTTTTATTCCCTTGCAAACTCTAGTTTCAGAAGTACTTCCTTCACATATGGCAGCACAACTACTAAGGCAGTAACTAACAGGAATAGCAAAGAGAAAAAAAGTGAGAGAAAGAATAAATAAGGCAAAAGTGGAAGGCAGACCAAAAGAAGATGTCTTTCTCACTAGCCAGGCATCCTAAAATTCCCCAAGAGTTTGTAGAATTGAAGGTTTAATATTAAATTATTTCACTTTGTTACTTCTCAACAAACAGTCCTACCTAATGCTTTTAATTTTTTTGTTGTTTTCATTTGCCTGGTTTGTATTTTTCCCTGAATATTCACACTTCTTAACTGTTACTTGTTTATGAGGAACAAAATCATAGTCTACAAAACATTGCCTTAATAATAATCAAAAAATTAAGAATGTGTGTCATTACCACAATAATCAATTACAACACGAGAGGTGGAAAGAGAGTTCTACCCCTCTCTTACTTGCAACTTTCAGTGCAAGCAAGCAGCTAACTAAAACAGAGGTCAATTCTCCTCAATGGTATATACATGAAAGTTGTCTACACAAAATGGAGAGATTAGGTGGCATGATGTCATCTCCTCCATTCAAAAGAAAAAAGATATCTTGAATTATTTTCTAGATTTGGACCACTCTCCTCCTTTTGAGAGGAGAACATATATTTATTGCCATACTCGACAAAACCCCCACCCTTCAAAATATCGCAAACCAACTTAACTTTTCGAATATAACAAAATCCATTTAATTTGTCAAGAATGGTCACATACAGAGAAGTTAAACACATGTTTTAATGTCTGTGGGAACAGAGTCTTGGCAGCCTGGAACCCTAGGTGATAAGGATCAGTTAATGTGTGAATTCAAAAACATCAGTAAATAATTAATGAGTTGACCCCATAAAACATTGATGCAAAGAACAGACAATGCACAGAAAACTGAAGCAGTTACAATACAGCACTGAAAACTGCTTACAGTTTGGATTTTCAGCTGTTATTAAGGTCAGTTTGGGTCTTCTACCACAAAAAGTAGGAAGAGACCCCATAATCAGTTATGCAAACTTCTAATGGACCATAAGAGTTTATTACCTCGTTCTTCTCACAGCTTTCAGATACACTTTGACTGTGCTGTTAAAAATAACTAACTCCACTAAAAAGAAAAAGTATTATTTACCACACAATCCCCCCCAAATAACAAATTTTTAAGGAATGAAAATCTGACCTTCAGAAGCCTAAACTTATCTTCAGCTTTATAAATGGTTTCCAATCTAATAATTAAGTGCTCATCAGCCAGCATTTCAGCTTTGCAAAAAAAGTCTTTTGAGCTCTTCTTTGGTTTCTTGACCTATAAAACAAGAAATCTGTATTTACCCACTTCAATAAAATAGCAACAAATATCTACCCTGCACACTTAGTAAAACATATATCTCATACAGAGCACAATTGAGAAATTATACCTAGCACCCTAATCAACTTCTCCAACAGTTGTTCACAACCAAGCAGATATCACCCTAAGCTAAATTAGTAGCTCTAACAAAATATCACCATTTGCTCCTAACTCCCCCTAGATTTCTTATGCTCCAATTTTTTCAGGTGCAATGATTTAAGAGATCTTAACCTCTTGATTGCTGAGGGAAACCACAGGACACAAGACAAAGGAAATACCACCTATCACAGTCAGTAGAAAGATTAAACTATGGTTAGGATGCACTTGTTGCACTGCCTGTGCAATGTTGAAATAGCAACCAGTATTTTTGTAGTGAGAAAGTTTCCAAGTTCTTTAATTTTAACCACAGTCTTCCCATGTTCGGTATTTTCCTTAACAATTGAGCTGTTGGACACATGAGATAGCATGGAAATCATAGCTCTTACTTTAAACAAAAATCAAAACATATGGGAGTACGAGGTGAATTGGAAAGCTGAACAAAATGATCTGAAGATTGGTCAATTGGTTTTAGTTTCGCATTTAAAAAAATGCTATGATTTAGGGTAGCAGCTTCAAGTTTCTTAACTTGGGACATATCAGATCACCACGATATGTCAAGATTTAAATGAGAAGCACACACTAGATGTGAAAATTTCACATTCCATATCCCATTTCTCATGGGATATTTTCTTATGCAGGTGCTCCCCCTACTGTTTTACTAAATAAAATGTTGTAATGTTTTTCCTTAATTGCACTGACTTTATAGCTACAGATTGAACAATCTGCAATTTTATTTACATCATACACCCTTCCATATAGTAGCAAATAAAAATTTGAGTTGCACCTGGAGCAAGGCTGGAGGGAATAGGAATGTATTACTTAACCGTAAGATTCATCACAGCTTTACTTATAATTCACCACTTTTGGTACAGGTGAATTAGATCTTTGATGTCACAAGCTGTGTTGCTAATAACAGACTACTGAAAACTAAAGGAGCACAGATATCCAGTTTACTTGTGTTTATGTTTGTCAGTGGGTAGCCTTTCTTTCTGCTTCTCGGCACTAAAAAGAAAAAAACAAGTACAAGCTCCAGCTCTTTCAAGTGAGTTACTGCAATATTAGCATGTAAACTTTTCTGGAAAACATCTATTTTAATCCAACTGAAAGCAGTTTGTCATATAAATCAGTTACATTGCAGAACTGTTTAACTTCCCCTTCACTGAAGCATGTTGCAAAACTGAATTTATAGTTACATGACATTAAAATCTGCTAAAAAAACCCAAAACGCATTTTGACAAGAATGAACGTATCAGACTTCAAGATGCATATAGGTAGTAAACACTTTCAGAATGCTGCTACCTTTGTTAAAAAGGCCATTGTTTGTAGGGAACATACAAAAAAAATTATTTTTTTTTTTATGAAACACTAGGCACACCTGCAACAGCCTCATAGTAGATAATGGGATTCTGGCTGCCTCCATCAAGAGCCCAATAAGCCTTATGAGGAGAGCGCATGCTCTATTCCCTAAATAAACTAGCAACTAGACACAACATTGAGCAATTTATCAGAAACGCTGCTGACCACGGCCTTAACGCTTATGTTCACTCATCGTTGTCTCTCCAAATCCCACCTTTTGCCAGTGAATCAACCACAAAAGCCAACCATCCAGCTGACACGCTGTGGCAGATGGGCGTTCGGGACCAAGCAGCGCCGTGCTCCAGAAGGCTGGATCCCTTCAGCCTACACAGAGACGCGCCTTCCAGCCGGGGCGCTGGGGAAGGCTGACATACCCGCACGCCAACGCTCCCAAGCTTTCCCGGCGGTTCGGGCGGTTCTCGGGGAGCCCGGACTCCCGCCTTCGCCTGGCCCATACCGTTTACCTCAGCCAGACGGGGCCGGGGCTTCTGGGCCGCCGCCCCTCAGGGAGGAGGCGACGAGCCCGGGCTAGCCCGCTCTGCCGCCGCATTACCAAGCGCGCTGAGGGAAGGCAACCGGGGCTGCGGAACCGCCACTGGCCGGCGGCAGTGCCGAGCCCGGGCGCTGGCTGGGCTGCTGGGCATCCACCCTGCGGCACTCGAGGGAAGCCCGGCCGGGAGGCTACCGCTCCCCGGAGCGAAGCGGCACCGCAGACCACCGGCGGGAAGAAGCCGCTCAGGTGGGAAGCGGCAGCCGCAGCGCTGAGGAGACGGAGGAAAGCGGCTCCCGCCCTCTTGCTATAGGCGCCTCCTTATGGGAGGTCCGTAACGACGCAACATCCCTGCGCCCGCCGAGGGTGCACCGCCGCTTGTGGAGAGCCGCTTCGCCTCCGCGCAGAGTTACGTCTCCTTCCGCGCGGGATGGCGCTGGAGCCCGCGGGGCCGGCGCAGCTGGTGCGCTGCGGGCAGAAGGACGAGCTGTACCGGAGCGGGCTGCGGAGCGGGGCCGGCACCGCGCTGCACGGGCTCGCAGGTAATGCCTGCCCTGGGGGGGGGCGTTCAGCGGACCACGAGCTCTGCCGAGGGGCTGGGCCGCCCGGCTCGGCGTTGGAGGGGGGAAAGGGGACGGACCGCGGATCGTCGGTGCTCCCAAATCCGCCGACAGCAGCGGCCTCCCCCCTCACAGCTCTCGGATGGGGTGATGGAGGCGGGCCGATCCATCGCGGGGGCGTTAATCCAGTGTTGGGGTGCCCGGGAGAAACGGCGGGCGAAGGGTTTAGATCAGCAGGAATTTCACGTCAAGTAACTGCAACGATTCCCCCCCTCCCTTAGGTGCCAAGAAGTGGCTGGAATGGAGGAAAGAGATTGAACTGCTTTCTGATGTCGCCTACTTCGTCCTTACCACCTTGTCAGGTAACACGTCTAGTAGCTTCCGATTTAGTATTTCTCCTAAGGGCGTGAAAAATGAGCCGTCTGTCCTGGGGGGCTGCTAGTGGTGACCACCGCCTGCAATGAGACTGCTTGACAGGGATTTTCTTCATTGTGGGGTTTGTCTTTGGTTTGTTTTTCTATAAATGCCTTTTATTAACCACTAAATTGCCAGAAGCTTGAGTTCAAAGGCAGCAGTTTATCAACCCAGATATAGGTTCTTTTAAAAGCAAAAGTTCTTTTTCAAAAAAGGGATGCATGACACTATGAAGAAGCATCCCTGCTTTAAGCCTAAAGCTATGGCAGGTACTGATGCTGCAGATGCTCATGTAAACGTAATGGTCACCTCATTCAACACAAAAAAATGCAACTATTTCTGAAACTCCAAAACCCGATGTGTTCTGAACTGAGCAGCCTGTCACCACTGCTCAACCATACAGAGAATGATACTGCAATTGCCATCTTACCCTGTGTGTTTTCTGTTGCACACATTATTTAGGTTATCAGACTCTGGGTGAAGAATATGTTAACATTGTTCAAGTTGACTCAACCAAGAAAAGGGTACCTTCTTTTCTTCGACGGGCCATCTTCGTTTCTCTGCATACTGTAGTACCCTATTGCTTAGAAAAGGGATTACTGCATCTGGAACACGAGTTGCAGATAGCAGCTGACGAGTCCAGAACCTTGCAGAGCAACCCAGCACTTGGCTTATCCAGTAGGACCTTAATACGAAACTGGATACAGAAACAAGTTGGGGAGCTTACAGAACAGCAGAAGAAAACAGTCTTACAAATTGTGTACATTCTTAAACAATGCATACCTTTGCTCCATCGACTACATCTGGCAGTATTCTACATAAGTGGCACTTTTTATCACCTGTCTAAAAGAATCACAGGAATCACGTATGTAAGTGGATGTATTTCTTGTTTGAAGCTGCTGTCCACTGCAGTATTTTGGCCTCTTTTGGGGTGCCATGTGTGTAAAAGGGACATAGAATTTGCCTATAGCTGATTAGAATATGGGCAGAGCTGACTGGGTGAGAGGGATATTTTTAATACTATGTAGAGGGGTTATGAGTCCCTGCAGTTGAAAGGTTATGGCTAATAAATGTGAAGGTACTGTCAGAAGTTAATACCCTACATAACATCACAATACTGTCCTTCTACAAATATACAAAAAGTGAGAAGTGGCTTAATAAATCCATGGGAAATACTTCAATATAGTTTTGAACAAAAATCAGTACAAGTTCAGATAGCATTTTTCTATATGAAGAGCTTAATTTCACATGGTCTTTTGAAGTATCTTTCCAAAAAACATCAGCCACTGTCCCAGAAATGTGTATAGACACAAGATTCTTCAACGATTCCCCATGTCAATCTGGAACATCAGTATTTGACTATTTGCTCAGAGCCACATAACAAAACTGAACTGATTAAAGCAACAGTTTTGATGGACAGACAGACAACTCGAGACAACTGATCCTTACACAAATGGCAGTTAAGTGTAGCCTGACTGAATGAGATACATCCAGAACACATTAGACATCCTGAGACAGCAGGTTGATGAGTCCTAGAAACACATCAATTTTTTGGACAGAAATGAGAATCCCAAATCAAGGGGGGGGGGGGGGCAGAATATGAGGGGGGAGAAGCACAGTTTCATAAAACCACAGTAACGAAACATCTCCATTTCTGTGACTTATGTAGCTGCATTTTGGAGGACTGCAAAGAGAAGATCAGAGTATTCGATCAAGTTACAAGTTTCTTGGAATAATTTCACTCTTCCATCTTCTTCTAACAATTGGTGTTCAGATGTACAGCTTCAAACAGAAGCAGAGAGCAAGGCAGGAATGGAAACTACACCGCAACCTAGCTCATCAGAAGTACGATGATTTTTACTTACTAGGAAAGAGATGGAAGCAATGGTGGGAAATGTAATACCTTTCATGAACAGGGACAACACTGGAGTGACACTTTGACTTAAGTTAGAACCCAGTGTAATGTAAAGTTTGATGCATTCCTCACTGCTTTAAAAAGCATCTCTTAGATTTCATGCTTTGCTTTCATGTTTTTGAAATCTTCACAAAAAGGGTTAATACTTGAAGGTGGGGTTTACTTTAACATTGTGTTATCAAATATTTCTTACAAGCAGGCTAAATAAAGTAAAGTAACATATAACTATGTTAATTAGAAATATGACCAAGGAAAAAACTACTGGGCGCCACTCCCGCTGCACTTTGTGCTTGGAAGAACGGAGACATACAACAGCCACACCTTGTGGCCACCTCTTCTGCTGGGAATGCATCACGGAGTGGTGTAACACCAGAGTAAGTACAGAAGGACAAATGGAGGCTGGAAGGGGTAAACATGATGAAATTTCTACTTGAAAATATCTATCAGCCTGGGTGTTGAAATAATACCCTTTCTCTCACTAAGGCACCCAAAATCCCCACACGAGAGTTCACCAGGACCTATGTATTTTATTAGAATAGAATGACTATGCATTACATAGATGAGGTAAATAAGGTGAGCAGTTTTCTGTCTCAACCATTGAAATGCAACTGAACTAATGTGGAAGTCAGACATGGAGATAATTCCTTTATCTACAGACCTAGGCTATAATTCTGACTGCAAAGAAACAACAAAATGATAACGTTCTGAAGCCGCCTTCACCTGATTTCCAGTAAAAAGGAATAAATAAGTTACAACCAGACTGAGCTAGCTCTTATGCATGGTATTTTAAACTTGGATTTTGCTCTGGATTAATGAAATACAACAGAATTTTCATCCATTAAGGATTTTATAAACATTGTGGAATAAGATGTTGTCCATTTATTTTCTCTAAAGAGTGAAAACTGCTTGCCAGAAAAAAGGCATCAAGTGTTACTTACAAATAAAATGTTTGCCATAGAGGCTACGTCTGTGCTATAACTCAGATGTATTACTGCAGTTGTTTTAGAAATGAGTGGTGTGATCTACTTAAATTTTCCTACACATATACTAATTTGGCTGTGGCACGGCAGAATCAAGCAAATACAACTTCTCAGAGAATTTCTCCAAGATCCAAAATTGATCTTGACACTAAAATTAGTATAGCCAAAGGCCTGTATTTAAACGCACCAAGGTTATACCTATGCAAGCTGTCAAGTTCTATGACAGATACACCACGTGAAGCCACAAACTAGAACGCAGCTTGCGATGAGCCACTGCCTTCCTAACACCACCCTGACACAAATCAGGAAACGTCAAAAGTCACTTCAGATTTGCTTGTAAAGACCGAGCCAATGTTCATCAGTCTTGCCTGAATGCTGTCGTAAGCTGTGGTAAAAACTTTCATCTAGCTGCAGGGAAGGAGTGGTAACCTACTGAATTACTCAGATGTGTTTTCTAAGGCTGTGAAAATAGATGCTTTTCTTATTGGGTAATCAGATTCATTTAATCCTTTTAAAAGACATAACAAAACAAAACAACATAGTTTGCCTAACACAAACCATACTACCCACCCCTCCAGTTAGCATTTTTCAGCTTATCAGCTGTTTGTTTCTGAAAGAGAAATGCAGTGGAGGCAGCAAATGTTACCAAGTTTCAGCTGGATATGCAAGTCCATTACACAGTGATAAAACTGAGTGTTAACTGAAGCAGGTACCTAAAGAGGGCCCCTTAAACTGAAACTTATCTTGCTAGACTGTACAAAGTATTCCAGACCCTTTTCTTGACCAGATAGCTATCAGAAGAAATGAGTTATTAGAGGAATAGCTCCCATACACAGATTTCCTATCACTTAACAGTGTTCAGAATATGATATTTGATGAAAAACATAAGGAAGATTGTTGAATATCCTTAATGCGACAATATTAACTCCCAAGTACTGCCTTCTTATGAATCTGAAACTAAAAAGCAAAAAAACTTAGTCCACTTTAAAAATCAAGTGGGGGGAGGGATGAAATCACTCAAAGCTGATAATTAGCAAGCAGATGCAAAATGGATTTTTATCTAATATCCCCAAACTTTAGTTTGGGCTTTTTTAGTTTCCGGTAGGAAGCTGAAGCATCACAAGCTAAAGTTTTCACACACATTTTCAAGTTTTGATTAGAATAATTTAGGTAAATGATCCTTTTGCACTGTGGCCTTACTCAAGCTTCTTTGGTCCCTTACGTTGTTGGGCATCAATTAAAAAAAAGTTGTTCTTGTAATCTAGAGTGAAGATTAGTCCTCACTTCCCACCACACCTCTGACTGTAAAATTAAGAAAGAACGTCAAGTGAGTTAGCATTAGAAATTGCCCTGCTGACTCCCTGCTTGAAGTATCTTCAAATGAAGTGGAGGCAACAGAAATTTGAATGTAACAGAAGTACACTTAGAAGGCTACTGACAATTTCAGTTATTAGTTTTCAGTGCGAGTACTAGCTGACAATAGAGCTGTATCTGTTAGAGGACATTTATTTTAGACCATTTTTTGCATTTTTGTCAACTCTAAAGCTGTCCCAGATGCACATATCTGTAGGTAGACAGTATTAAAAATGCATTACACAGTGATATTTCAGATCTGAAAACATCCATTCACTATAATTGTATCTTTACCTTATTCTTTTCCCTAAAGGCCTGCTAATTTACTACTCAAAGAGCAGTTCAACACCCATGGTAAAGGATTTTTTGTTTCAGATACAGAGACTTCAGCTTGTTTTTTCTTAACACTGACAACAATTGTTACCATTTTAGTAACTTTTAGTCTTTTGGAATGTGCTGACCTAATAAATCCTTTTGACTCCCCCACTGGATTCACCAGGCAGAGATCCAAAAATTTCACAGCTCTGAGTTAAGAGAACTAAGAGTATCTTCTAATACACAGTCAATACCTTTTAAATACTACTTCTAGTGTACGTGAATGTTTCCTCATACTGCCTCTAACTGTAGTTTTTTCTGATTCCATTTGTTAGCAAAGTTAACTGAAGTAGTATTGCCACCTCGATTAAAGAACAAAAACACACCAAAAGAACTGTTAAGAATCCATCCGGTTTTTAAGCACCCATATCACCTCAAGTTGCTCTTTAAATTGGGCGAGCTTAGAGTGCTTTACATGGTTAAGCTTGCATCACAAACTGGACTGAAAAAAATGGGGTTTTGATTATGGATGCTGATTGTTTTCTAGAAGTAGTTAAACAGTGATATTTGGATTTTTTTTTTTTACTTTTAGATACAGCAATTCAGTACATCTATCTAATTTCTTTTCTTTTTTGTAGACAGAATGTCCACTGTGCAGAGAGAAGTTTCATCCTCAGAAACTGATCTACCTACGTCACTATCAACTGTAAAGGAAAAACCTATTCTGTTTCGTTTCATGACAAGGGCCTTTATAAAGTTGTCATACAGCTTAAGTTAGTCCAAGAAGAAGACTTTATTATAAAACTGGTAACTGCCTGTGCAAGGTGGCATTTCATTCCTCTTTTACAGAATAAATCTACTTCTGCCTCTACCCTTCTGTTTCTTCTAACATGGTTCTCGGCCGTATTAAAAATATGTCTTTCTAAAAAGTGCTTAACACAAATGTAGTAGTTTTCTTCACTGTGGACAATGAAAAATTTAAATCAGATTCTCAATTTCTAAATGTAAGTGTAGATAACGAGTCTTCCAACCTTTCATAGCATGCTTAAGGTATTAGTAAAACTCTACAATTTGTAAGACTCCATTTCTCCTGTAACTTAATAATGAATCCACGCTGTAGACTTCAGGGGAAAAGGACAAAAACTGTACACAAATCCTTAGTTTTAACTGCAGTGGAAGTTCCAATGATAAATGTATGTCATGTACCATTCTGTTTTCATAACAAGGTTAACAATATAGCAGGTTTCCTTGATTTGACAAACGGTGAATTTCCCTTAGATCAACAGAAGCAACAAATGCAAACCCAATAGTAATGCCGACTACTTTGTGCATTGATCAATTTAACATTCAGCTTCCAAACTCAAAGCTCTTCTATTGCTATTAGTATCAAGACTTTTTCATCAAGTATTCTAGACATTGAGATTATAGCAATGTAACAAGTGTTGTTTCAAAAAAGCCCTAGTATGTATACTAATAAAACTAAGGTCAACTATAAAACATTAGTTTTGCAACACAGCTTAAGTTTGTCTATGTGGTGTTTTCTACAGTCTAACACAGATAGGGAAGAAGCTGACTTCAGCCACAAGACCCCCTCCGCTCTTTATGGCAATAAGGGCTATTTCAGCTAAAGGAGGAGGGATTCTGCACCATCACCTCATCAAGATTTATTCCCGTAAATTATTATAAGTTCAATCATACAAGTATTCGGAGAAGCAGGGAAAAAGAAGATTGTTAGTTGTTAACATATCTTGTCATTCTTGCATGACAGAAAATGTACAAGATTAATTTATTTGTATTCTTTAAATACAGATGGGGAGAAAAAGCCAGATGATCCACTCAGTGGATCGTGAGTTACAGTTTCAATAAATCTTTCACAAATGGTACTGAGTAACAGACTTGGGATGGCAGGGGGAGGTGTGCTACAGTAAGAGCACTTCTTTTAAGATGGTTATTTGTACTGCAGAGATCCTGGTTAGCTAGTTAACAATTAAATCTCCAGTGTTATCATAAAAACCCCAATAGAATTAGTTTAACTTTTCGTCATATCTATAAACGAAAAAAAATAGGTTCTGGTAACTATGCGAACACCTCTTCATTACTGTACAAAAGTGATTTTCAGAGCTGCAATAATCATCCCTTTCTTACCCCAGAAAAATTTCAGGCATCCCTCACCTATTTAAAACTGTCAAGGCAACAGTAGAAGAAAAGTGGTCCGTATCACGAAGCAAAACATGACTACCTAAGGAAATCACTGCCTGATCTTCCTAAGAAAACAGTAAGGAAAAACATTTAGTTGCACATAAAAACAAATAGGACGCAATCAATGACTGAAAAGTGTCTGTGAAGCTGTCAAGCCAAGTTTTTCATGCTTTCTCTAAGGGTAATTTCTTTTTAGCACTTATGTGATAAAAATAGAGCAAAGTTTAACAAAATGCCGTCAAACTTGTCTGGCTGTTGCATGCTGAGAGTCAGCTAGAGAACTATACCATTGTCCAAACATCATCTACTAAGAATGAGAAGGCATTTATCTCAAGCTGCCACTGAAGCTCAAAATTAAGTGGAGGTAAAAATGTCTAACTTGCAATGGATATCATTAACACTCTGTTGTTTAGTAGGAGTCATCCCAGTTGCTAATTTTAATATTAGTAAATATCATCTTTTTCTCCCTGATTTGCCCATATTATTTAGAAGCTCCAGCAAACCTGAAGACAGCTTCTCCAAGTCAGGGCTTTCAGATTTTTAAGCAACGAACTGCAAGTATCCATGACTGGTGTTTTTATAAGGCCCTTTTTGGTTACTCTATTTCCATAATTTTAAATTTTGGCATTACTAGTTTCCACACTGCTAATAAAACAAACACACACAAACAAACAAAAAACAGGTCAATGTGAACTAAAACTACCTGTCATTTTCCCAGGATTACTGAAGGCTGAATTCCAGAGCTCCATAATGACTTCATTTGACAAAATCAGATTAAAGGGTTCCTACATAATTTTTTTTCAATTAGGTTTCTGTTGAAGTTGCCACTATTCTCCATTCAGAATCTTCAAAGAGCTAATCTTTTCCTATTTTCTGCAAGTGAATGCTCCCTGAAGAGTTGAAAAAGGCATTGCATGAAGATAAGTTGAGGGTAACCATTACTGAAAAGGAGCCATAAATGCTGTTAGATCAATATATGTATATAAAGATAGAGAACAAGTAAAGGGGGACACTGTCTTTTAATAAATTTTGGAATTAAAAAGTCACTTAATAAAACTGCAGTTGTATCACATGAAAAAGTTTACATGCAGGTCATTTACCTCCGATTTTTTTTTTTTTTCCCCCATAGAAAATGAAAAGTTGTGTTAAAACCCACACCATTTGTCTGCTATGGCCAGTTTGGACATATTCTGAAGGGGCTGCATGAAGTCATCTTAAATTAATCAAGAAACCCTTAAGTATGAAAGAAACTCCAACTAATAACAATTAAAATATATATTTTTATAATTCCAGGTCCTCAAAGATTGTGATAGAGTTTGAACGAAGTTTTGAGTTGTCATGATAGAGCCCAATTTTACCGTCTGCTAGGAGATGTAATGGTGAAACTGGCATTAAAACCCAACACAAACGAGTTACTTTAGAAGCTATATGAGTATTTTTTCCCTACTGCAAAACCCATAATTTAGTAGATTTCTTATTCCTATCTATATCTGTTTGGCTATAACTCAGTAATACCATGCATTTAGGAAACTGGCTTAAGTTCTGCATCTGTTTAGGTCTACTGAATTTTTCTATGAAAATAGCACATGGCCATGAAGCAGAAAACAGCATCACGTGTGCCATCTTACATTTTTCCTTCACAAATGTGCACAGCACTTCCGGGTGACGTAGAGCAGGAGAACTATGTAAAAATACCCAACTCTAAGCCATTAACCTCTCCAGTGCAATGGATCTTGAAAGAAATACGTTATCCCAAATCCATGGGATTATCCAAAGTTTCTCCAACTTCTTACAAAAGATAATAAACTCAATGCAATTTGGTTAGAATGCCAGTTTCCTCAAGAAACTGATATTTTAGATAAAAATAGCAAGATCCTCTTAAAATGAAAATTCAACTGCTTTGTCACCACTCTGTTAATCATTTTTTATGAAGAAAAAAAGGCATTGTTACAATGGCTCAAAATCGTTCCTTTAGTTAGAAGTAGAATTGGTCAACAGGTTGATTGCACCTTCTAGCTAGCAAAGGTCTTTCCCACATCTTCTTTCCCTTTGTATTTCCTCTTGCCATGTGTGAAGGGTATATATCTGTACTTTATCATGTGCTGTAAAGAGAAAAGATCCATTTTTGAGGCAAGAAACTTACATAGTATTTACAAAAATGTATTATAATACGCATTGAAAATTACAAAGTCCTCTAGAAAGACAGTTCTTCAGTATTGTAAGGGTAATGAAATAGCTAATCATACACCAGTTTACATCTAAATAGGGGTATGAGCCCAATCTTATAAATCTCAAATTTGGGTACACCCGACAATTTATACTGTACAGTGAGGATTACTGACTGGGGAATCACAGGAAACTGAAGAGAGCACAGAGGTATTAATTCTTTACTACCCTTTAATCTTTAATTTACAACTTTGAATAACAGTACCTATCCAAAATTCTGAATGTCTGGGAAAAAAACTGGTTCTCTTTTTAAAATGCCAACAAACCATCAGTAGTTTGTTAAAATTGGTCTGAATAACTTGCCTATGTTCTTCTTCCCCTTCTCCCCATCTACCTTCTCGCACCAACTTGTCAGAACTTCCTTTTTCACCCATCAGAGATCCTACAAGACCTCTTCATTAAAAATAGCCATGGTTAACTGAAGAAAGGAAGTGGATGAGAAATTATTAAGACTCATCCTGCATAAAAAACAGATATTAAATTCTAAGATCAAAACCTTTTGAAAGCAAGCATAAGACTTTGTCATGTGGTGTATGAAGACTTCTTTTACGAGCTATTTGTATTTTCCATCAACAATATTTGTCAAAGTTGCAAATATGCAACACTTGCACTGTTCAAGTGTTAGTTGTTCAAGTTCCTCTAGCAAAAGAAGTGTGTGCAATACATTTAAAACCTCTGAAGTGCTCAACTGGATGGACAGTTTAGAACAATACTGTGAATTCTGACATCACAAATGGTACTATCTATTATTGGCAAGTTACCTTGATTTGCCTCTTCATAGTGATACAAAATAGCATAATGAAGTACATCACAAGGATTGGCCAAAAAACAGGAACGTTGAAAGCCTCGAAGAATGTACATGCCATAGCAACCAGGATTCCTTTAGTGGCAGAGTGCCTTAAAAATAATATTAAAATTAATCCTTTAATGGCAGCTACCACTAATTTGATGCAGATATTTATATTTTTCAAAAACAGAGCATGGGCAGATGGATCCACTCACCAGAATTTAAACTCTGGGAGCCTTCTAATGAAAGGCCGAAATTCTTCATTTTGCCTTGTGGGTAAGGAAGGACCATCATCTGAAAAAAACAGAAAAAGAAAAAAAAACAACAAACCACAAACCCCCTCACACTAATTTTCCACATATTTGGACTCCAGATTATTTTTACTTGTTATCTTTAAAAAAACAAGAAAGAAAAACTTTCACTGTTACACATAGATTCCAGTTACAGTGGCTGTTTTAATGTAACTTAACACTGATTTCCAAAAAGAAAATAGATAACAAATTAGTGCCAGGTCACTTGAATTACTATGGGGAGAACTTAAGTCACATAAACCTTCTTTCAAAACACAGAAAACTAATACAATATTCCATATGTTCAAGTCCTGAAAAAAAAAAAAAACCACCCACCAAAAAAAAAAACCCTGACAAGTTTTATAGTAACTCCTGATGTCATGTTTTATAGATTTTTTGCAAGTCTAAAAATACAGTGTCATGCTAAAATTGCACATCTTTACGCTACTGTATCAGACAAAAAGAGCTGGAAGTTTGACTAAGTTCAAAATTATCGCAAAATGAACTATTCATCATACCTGAATCTTCCATTAAAGAGGGGTCTACCTTTGGCGACAAGAAAGCTATGAAGAGATTTAGATGGTAGATTCCCAAGGCATATGTCACAATGTACCAACCCTGAAGCAGGGAGGAAAAAAAAGCTAAGATTAAAGTCTTCCCGAAAACTGTTTTCAGACACTGATTTTTCAACAAGATTAACAGTCTGGTTTTTTTGCTTCCTTGAGAAGTGCTCTTTTACATCCTCACATTAACACAAAAAGTTTCCTGGACTTGTTAAAAAAATATTAAAAATTCTCACTGTATAAAGTAAGCATTCCAACTCTATGAAAAGATGAAATCACCTCTGTGAATCTATTTCTTTTATTTCTGTCTTGACAAATAAGTTTTCTTACCTGCAGTAAATAAACTCTAATCATGTAGATAAAACTCAGACCCAAAGTTACAATCCATCGCACTGCAGTATATGGAGTAGATTTGTCTAACCAGGATTGGTAGATCTAGGAAGAAATATAAAGTGTACATCTGTAAAACACATGATGCATAATGAAGAAAGTTTATTACAGGGTAGCATTAAAAATAGTAAGCATCTGTGAAGAGTATTTTGAGAATGAGAGTAACATGAAACATTTGTATTCTTTATTAGAAATAAACTGAATTAAACATACTTACAAGCATTTGAAAAGTTCTATATTTTTACAAAGGCCAAAAAAGAAAAAAAATCCTAATGCTTGGGGCATTGTAAAGCAATTTAAATTTTCAATATTTTATGCAAGTTTACTTTCCTTAAGATGAATCTGACATGAAATCTGAAGTCAATCCTCAATTTTGACAATAACAGCTTATATTTTCACTGTGCAACGTTACATATACGCACATTAAATATTCCATTAAGCTACGTATTATAATATTTTTTACCTATTTTTAAAAGGTTTCAAAAGAAATCTTTTGTACAGATTTTAGTATTTCAACAACTCATCTGAAAAGTAACGAGTTCAAGAAGCTGCATTGAGACCTGCCTCTAATGGAGTCAGAAAAACCCTACAAAAAACCAACCTGTCCAAGTCTTGAGAAAAATCTATAGACCACAGAAGGCTTTCCATGCACAGACTCACCAATACTGTCCCCTTCTGACATGGTTGCTGTGGAAACAAAACATGACATAGGTAACATTTAAAACAAAAAGCTAAGCTCAGTGAGGCTTTACAGTACATTATCTGAACCAGCATTTACATATGATACTTTTTTGGATTGCCCTGTTTGAAACAAATTATTTTAAATGAAGTATTCTTAAAGAGAAGACATTTATTCCAAAGAAATTAATTTCCAAAAGAAATTGTCAAGAAAGCAAAGAACAGGATATTTTACAAAGGCAAGACAGGATCCAATCCATTTTAGGGAGGGGAAAAAAAAAAGTCCATACAGAAATGCAGGAATGAGCCTTGTTAGACATCTTCACCTTGATAAGGCAGGAGCTGAGTTATAACATCTAAGCATTGAGATATGAACTGCAGCACCACCCTCCTGTCACCTCAGTTTCTAAAGGCAAAGAACAAAACCAAAATAAATATATATTTTTTTTAAAGCTGCTTAGGATTTTTAAATACTGAGTAACTAGATAGCAAAGAAGTTTAAATTCAGGACTCTGTACACCAGTGGTTACAGACCAAAAACCTCTACCGTAAGAACCTAAACCAGAACACTGCCCACTGCTAGAATTAGTCAATGAGTTTATCTCTCTCTTGAACATGAAGAGCTTAGCAGTCACAGGAAAGTTTTATGCATGAGCAAAACTGTGTAGTGAAAGGGCCAGGATTCTGAACTCAGATAAAAAAAAAAAGAACGAAGGGAATTATTTTTTAGTACATGCTTCTGCTACCAATTTAAGATCTTTATTCTCCTTTTCAGTTAAGCTCAACTAAGTTTTATAGTTCACTTCAAGATATAAAACAAACAAAATAAAATGGATTCTAAACAGAAACATTTTTGCCACATCACCACAAGCAATCCCTGACATTACTTCCTGGAGTCCTCATCTGTGGGTGGGACTACATAATTCTGGGATAGTGGGAGTACTTTCAGCCCTACATTAATATCTCAAGAGCCTCAGGTGATAATAAAGATATATGAAACATTACTAAATCAGAAAAATGCAAATTAACTTAGATGCTGCAATACAGTGACTGCTGCAAAAAATAATTTGAGACCAAGGACAATCTGGGGAGGCACAGAACCTTAAAGTTGTCTATTTTTTCTGTAAACATCTGAAAACTACATCCTATGGATTAATTAATAAGCAGAAAAAAGGAGTCCTGTTACACTTCAAAAGATAAGGGGATTCATTACGAGGCTTCAGGAGCTGCAGTCCACTTTAATTCAAGCTATAGCTAAACAGAAAGAAAAAAAATCAAATAGAAACTTATACAATATAGATACAGACTTTTTCATTACAGGCAAAAGGAAGTAATTGTTATTCTCCCCATTCACTGCACTGCAGAAGAAAGAAGTTACTCAGCATTATTAGCTGAGCATAATTTTGTGCTTTATTTGGGGGTTTTTTGAAATGCCCTGAAGTATAAAGCCGTTAACAAAAAGATACCGAATCTATCGATCAGATAGCAATTCTCTAAAGATCATGAACAGAAAAACTCTCATATTCTCAAAACTAATTTTACAGATACATCCACAGCAAATATGGGCTATAAGTAGACCTAACATTACAATCTTGTCAACATTAACTTATGCAGTTCAAGTGAAGAATCACATATGTAGGGCAACTGATAGCTTTATGATGGAATAGGCATTTTGCTTGGTGTAACAAACTACATTATATGTGATTATGTATGATTGTTTATCATACATGCAATTCTTCCACAGCAGACCAAGAAATTAAACCAGCTAACACTATCTGTTTTACTGAAAATAAACCGCCCACTGGCTCAGTTTAAGTAGCACAGACTGAAGTATATCACATGACATGGTTTAGAATTTAAGTTAATATTTCCTATCACATCAAAACTTTACTGAAAGAACATCTGTAATTAGACGGTTATCAAGAAAAGCAGTATTTGGCATTGCTTTGAAAGTAGTTTACAGTTAAGAACACACGTCAGATCTCATTAGTTTAAGGGGAATAATTAAATCTAGACAGTAGCAGTCCCTTTCATAGGGCAACATAAGACTTTGCTGTTCAGCATAATAAGTTATGATAACCTTCAGCCATTTCAGTAAAACCAATAATCAGAAAGATATATAAAGATTATTTAACAAATAGTTGAATAGTTTCCTACTAGCAGAATACAGACTGCTACTAAAACTTAACCATATTAAAACCCCGTATTTTTTCTCTGCTGAAAAGTACCAAGTAGGCAAATATGTGACCTTCAACAGTCAGGCTTTTTACCACAGTTGTTGTGGTAATATCATTAAATATACCACTGCATCGCTGAGTTCTTCAAAATGACAGGACCTGGGGCAGTGCAGGCATTTAACTCATGCCTCGCATCACCACATACAGGGAGGTACAGAATTTTCAGACAACTCCCTGATCACGGTGGAGATTCTTCTTAAATTTAAAATACAAATGAACCACATAACTAGCAAAAACACATTACTGCTCATACAAGTTTCCTCATCCCACAGAGGAAACGTCTTTGAAGAGCAACACGCTACAGCCGCTTATTACTAATAGGGCGAGCGGACAACCATAGGAAAATAACCCATGGGTTGT